TTAGTACTCTCTCAGAGTTTCAAAGTCTCTGCATCTTAAAAGAGATGTAAGCATTTTTTTGTCTGATTTTAGTTTAACACACTTGCTCAAAGTAGTCATTAAAATACAGAAGCCACTTACATGAGAATACCTTCCAGAAAGAGGAAGAAAGAGTAGCTTAACCCTTTATAGAACCTACAGTTAAATGTCAGTGTCTCTGTCTTCATTAAAATGAGCTCTACCACTGACCTAGGCAGCAAAGAGGAGTCCCTGGGGGGGTGGGGTGCACTTGATTAAATAAAAGGCAGGTTGAATGGCACACCCACGGGTTATAGTCACATGGGTCAGGGAGTGGATGCAGAAGTCTACATGTTGGGGTTTTTTTGTGGGGGGGGGTGTGGGATTCAATCAGACAGTGCTCAGGAGACCCCAAGACACTCAAAGAAATAACTGAGAATATGGTGCTGCTCTAGCCCTGCAGTGCTCAGGATAACTCGTGTCACCCAGCAGTGCTGGGGGGGGGAGGAGGGGCAGGGAGGGGCAGTGCTACACCTGGCGCTGTACCTGGCAATGCTTGGGGAACTATGTGGGGCTGGGAAGCCACAGCCAGCTGCATGAGAAACATATGCCTTAACCCCTGAACCATCTGTCCAGCTGGCCAGGATTCTGACACGAATGAAACTCAGACTTCATTCTCAGGCCCCTGACTGAATGCTTAGGGGCTTACACTTGGGAATAAACATACCTGACATCCAACATCTAAAATCTGAATTCTAGCTTCATTAACTTGAGCAATTTGGTGGTGGTTATTGTTGTTGCAACACTGGGTGGGGGGTCAGTCAGTCCAGTGGTTACGCTCTTTGCGGGTGCTGAAGTGGTGTCTGTACTACTGATTGTATTTGGAACATAGGCCAGGGCTGGGGATGGTACTCAGGGTTTCATGCCTGCCAGGCCAATGCTTTACCACTGAGTCACATTCCTGAACACCTTTTAAGCTCTCTGAGCCAAGTTGGGTTTTTTTTGCCATAAGTTTTAAGAAATAAACAAAGTATATGGTCGTGTGTTTGGCAGTGCCTACCCAACAGGAAGAAGCTACTGAATAAAAAGGAGCTACTGACAGTATTATTAAGACATCAAGGCAAAAGGACTTTGACTCATTTTTCTTTGTGCTGTCATTCTTTCCTTTTTGTAAATCCAAAACGCAGTGCAGTAAGGAAAATGAAACTTTATGTCACCCTCACCCCCTTTGCTCAGAATGGCAACTGGAGCACCTGCAATCATGTCTGCATCCCACACAGCGAGGTGAAAAAATTGAAAGGGGGAAAATATCTGACTCAGTAAGACTAGATCCTAAAAGTTCCTGGGGCTCCATGGGCCAGAACTTTGCTGCCAATTAACCTAGAACCTGTAGCCAAATGGTCTCATACCTAGAAAAAATGTGAATAATATTACAAAGAAATATTGAAGAAAAGAAATATGGAAGAACATCTATTATTCCATGGAATACTCAACCCAAGGATTGCCATAGACTCAGTTCATTTCCCAGAAATCCTCTGCTCTAATTCTGCTACCTGCCTCTTTCTCTTGAAAGAATATTTTCTCCAAAAAGCTAGTTGCAAAAAGTTAGTTCTTATCCTACTCCCTTTGACATATTTTCTTCCTAAATTTTTCTCATACCCCAGTTTCATTCATTTTTTTGCATTCCAATATGAATAGACAATAGTAATTTTATTGTAGAAAGGTTAGAAAACACTGCTAAGAACATTTTTTTAAATATTCAAAACCCACCACTTGGAAACAACTATTCTTCAGATGTTGGTATATAGACGTTCCATATTTGTCCCTAGTAAGAAATATTTTTACATGTATTGCTAGTGAAAGTCTCATCAACTGTTTTTAACCTTCTCCATAAAACTTACAAGTAAGTATATTATGTATGACTTGCAGTGCTGTTAATCATGGATCAATGTCATCAATTTTAATGACTGCAGTTGTTTCATTGTACTGGGTGTACCTTATAATTTATTCAACCATTTCTACTTAGATAGTCACAACACTATACTAACCCTCCTAGCTTATGCATCTTTGCCCACTTGATCCCTAGTTTTCCAAGGATAAACTGTGTTTCCATGGTTTTCTAACTCTATAGATGCATTTTACTTGTCCAGGGACCAACTAATCTGCCAATCCCTCAAACTTCTCTGCCCCTAAATGTTTGTAATTCGTCTTTAAATGAATACTCACCCCAAAGTCTTTTCAAGAATTAAATTCATAGGAGCTGTGGAAAGCAAGACTGCACCTAAGAGAGGAGATAATTTACCCCATTGCTGAGTAAAAGCACAAATAAAATTACAATCCTGAAAAAAAAATAATAAATACACACTTATAAAAAATAAATAAAATCAAGTAATACACACTTAATAAAAAAATCACAATCCCGGGTGATGATTAAGGGATTGATATCAAACCTAAGTTACTAGAACTTTCCATTTGCCAAAGTGACTACAAGCAAGACCAGAATGAGGCCACTTCTGTGTGGATAAACCAGTTTTTAATTGGAAGGGAGGGAAATGCACTTGACTAAAATAATTATTTTTCACAATTGGTTTGACATATGTTGATTCTTTAGCTATTTTTGTTTCAGTTACTGGTGGATTGTTGACTAATTGTTTCTTTGTCTCTACTGTGCCCCCAATGATCCAAACACAGGTGGGGACAATTTATAGAGAAGGAGAATGTGGTTGTGGCCTTCTCATGGATCACTTCCTGTTTTCAGGGCATCTCATCTCAATTTCCTTCCCTTCAACCCTAAGGATAGGCAGAAGTGTTATCATTCGCCTCTGTTAGAGAGAGTGATGATAATAGGTACTGTTTATTCAGCTCACACACTGTACCAAGCAAAATGCTAAATGCATAGTGAATATTAGCCATTCCTTACAACTACCCCTGATGGCATAGGTATTCCCTTATGACCCAGTTTTTGACTGGTGTCAAAATATTGAAGGTAACCAACGTAGAGAGAGAGTATTATGAAAATTGTCTGCCACACAGGCAGGGGAATGTGTTGAATGGGGGTGGGGGTGGGGGGATACTGGGAATTTGGGTGGTAGAAAATTGGCACTGTTGAAGAACTGGTTGTTTGATGATTGTTGATTGAAGCTCAAACATGAAAGCTTTGTTACTGTACCTTATGACCCAGTTTTTTAAATGATGACAGTTAAAAAAAAATTATTTAGATCTGTTTGCCATGATCACACAAGAGGAGAGAGGTGGAACCAGAATTTTTTTTAAACTCTTTTTATTATTATTATTATTAGTGAAACACCATGAGGTACAGTTGTAGATTTACAATTTTTTGTGCTTGGGTTTCGATTATACAATGATCAAATACCCATCCCTCCACCAGTGCCCATTTTCCACCACCATGGATAATATCCCCCCACTCCCATCCCCCCCATCCCACCCTGCCTCTGTGGCAGGGCAATCCCTTGTGTTCTCTCTCTTCTTTTGGGAGATGTGGTCTGCAAAAGAGGCATTGAGTGGCAAACATGTTCAGTCCATAGTCTACTTTCAACATGCATCTCCCCTCCTGGGAGGATCCTCCAAACACTCTTTATTGGTGGTCCCTTCTCTATCTGAACTGCCCTTTCCACTAGAATGCCCGGCTGGCCTCTAAGCTATGGAATAATCCTCCTGGTGCTGATCTCAGCTACTCTTGGGTATTAATCTCATACTTTGTTACTTTATATCCCCCACATGAATGCAATCTTTCTATGTCTATCCCTCTCTTTCTGACTCATTTCGCTTAGCACGATACTTTCCATGTTGTACCACTTGTATGTAAATTTCATGACTTCATCTTTTCTAACAGCTACATAGTACTCCATTGTGTAGATGTACCAAAGTTTCTTTAACCAGTCATCTGTTCTTGGGCATTCTGGTTTCTTCCAGTTTCTGGCTATTGTGAAGAGTGCTGCAATGAACAAACAAGTGCAGATGTCACTTTGACTATACATTTTTGCCTCTCTGGGATATATTCCCAGGAGTGGTATTGCTGGGTCAAATGGGAGCTCAATTTCTAATTTTTTGAGAATCGTCCATACTGTTTTCCAAAAGGGTTGAACCAGTCGGCATTCCCACCAAGAGTGAAGGAGTGTCCCTTTCTCACCACATCCGCTCCAGCATCGGTTGCTTTTGTTCTTTTGGATGTGGGCCAGTCTCTGAGGTATGAGATGGTATCTCATTGTGGTTTTGATCTGCATCTCCCTGATGATTAATGATGTAGAGCATTTTCTCATGTGCTTTTTTGCCATTTGGATTTCTTCTTTGAGAAAGTTTCAGTTCATTTCATTGCCCCATTTTTTGATGGGGTTGGATGTTTTCTTCTTGTGGAGTTCAACCAGTATTTTGTATATCCTTGATATCAACCCCTTGTTAGATGTGTATTCGGCAAATATCCTTTCCTATTCTGTAGACTGTCTTTGTGTTTTGGTCACTGTTTCTTTGGAGGTGCAGAAGCTTCTTAGTTTAAGATGGTCCCATTTATCTATCTCTGTTTTCACTTGCTCGGCCAGTGGGGTGGCATCTTTGAAAATACCATTAGCCTCAATGTCATGGAGGGTTTTGCCAACTTTGTCTTCAATGTACCTTATGAGAACCAGAATTTTAAGGAACCCAAATTCAGGAGTCAGAAAGAATCCCTGACTCACTCAAGTGCACAGAGTTGAGGCATCAAGTCCAAACTACTATTCACCACCTAGAGCACAAGCTCTCGAGTCAGGGAGCCTTTGTACAGACCCCATTGCTGCCACTTCTTAGCTAGGCCACCCTCCACAGACACTAGGTTGCATTGGGGTTCAGGCAACTAATCCTAGAATGGGGGTAACAAATGTGAGCCAATTTCCAATTTTAGATGATATGGTCCACACACACTACAGAGGAAGTGGAATTACGAATGTGATGCCTAACGCCCCTCCAGATTCCAAGCTAAGTGCCAGTTTTATTGGTCTGTTCTCCTGCAGGTACCACGGGCAAAGGCCTTGTACAGCTACCGAGGGCAGAATCCTGGGGACCTGCGATTTAATAAGGGAGATGTCATCCTCCTCCGGAGACAACTGGATGAGAACTGGTACCAGGGGGAGGTCAATGGAGTCAGTGGCATCTTCCCCGCCAACTCCGTGGAAGTCATCAAGCAGCTCCCCCAGCCACCCCCTCTCTGCAGGGCCCTCTACAACTTCGACCTTCGGGACAAAGACAAAAGTGAGAACCAGGACTGCCTGAGCTTTTTCAAGGTAAGTTTCTGGGCAGCCCCAGAAATCACCAGTAACTGCAAGGAAACCGTTGCGAACTTAAGAGCTGTGCATTTAATACCTGCTCATGTTTTTATTATGTGTGACTCTATACATAGATATAGACAGCAGGCCCTTGTATCAAATTATTTTGTTCAATGTCTCTTGTTATAACACTGATGAGAAGAAAGAAAATAATTTCAACCAAGATTATTAAACCTAACAGTGTCATCCCAGGACTTGCTTTGGTCATTTACCGTTTCAATTAAAGTCCAAAAAATGCAAAATAGAATGTTACAAATGATAAAATTAGGGGATTATAACTTGGTCATCACAAATGCCCTTAGAGATTCATGATGAACTTTGGTGGGGCATGCTCTTAAATTGCTTGTAACATTCTATTTTGTCTTAAAGATTACATTCAAAACACTCCCATCCTAGACAACAATCTAATTATCCTTTACACATGGAAATAACCTCATAATATATATTTTCCAAGAAAATTAGTGATTCTGGTTTTCTGCCTCTTTTTTTAATTATGATTCTTCTCCACTTGCAAGAAATGACATCTCTACTAAAGCGTAAACTACTTTAATACTCAGTGTTCTGTATTTACTATTCACTAAACATTCAAGTTCATAGAAAATAGAGTTGAGGACTTTTCTGCTACTTGTGATAAGTGAATCAAAAATAAGTATAAGACTAGTCACTATTGCAATAACTCAGAAATCCCCTTTTGTTGTATAAAACATTATTCTACTTCTACCAGAAATGAGATTTACTCAGATTCTTTCAACTAGATAACCTCACCAACCTCCATATTTTGAAATAAATTTTATTACTGCTTTGACACCGCGGAATGCGTTTCCTAAGGAAGGTCTCTGTAGTGAGTTAAGCCGCAAATATTTTTCCTACTACACTTTCGCTGCTGCTTGAGGGTTCCAAGAGCATTTACTATTTCCTTTGAGCCAGTCAGTTGGTGCTGAGCTCTGAGGCAGCACTAGAGGAAGACTCAAGCAGCAAGTATCATCCACTTTTTTGACCGTCTCTGAAAATCCACAAACAAGAACCATTCGTTCAGTTCATTCATTATGCCCATCCAAGATGGAGAGAAAGTGGTGAGTTACCATACCCAGCCTTCATGGAGCTGGCAGTCCAAGGGAAAATAGATACATAAATGGGCAACTATAAAAACTGAACCACAGGGGCTGGAGTGATAGCACGGGGGGGTAGGGCATTTGCCTTGCATGTGGCCAACCTGCGTTCAATTCCCAGCATCACATATGGTCCCCTGAGTACCGCTAGGAGTAATTCCTGAGTGCAGAGCCAGGTGTAACCTCTGTGCATTGCCAGGTATGACTCAAAAAGAAAATAAAAAAGGAACCACAAAAGCGAATTTGGTCAATGTTGGAGAGCTGACTTACACTTGAAGAAATCATGGTCTTCCTAACTCAGCTTGTCCAAATCAAAGTCCAGATCTTCCCTCCAACAATACTTTTTCTCTAATGTTTTCTCTCTTAGTAAATGGTACCGATTTATGCACATATTTATTTATTCATCCTCATGGGCAGGCATTCAAGAAATATTTATTGTATGACTCCTAAAATGGAGCCACTGTCTAAGATACTGAGGACACAGACATGAACAGAGCAACACAGGTCCTGTGTACTTGGAGTTTACAATCTGATGGGTAGACTATCACTAAAGATATTATCATCTAAAAATGTCTAATAGAAAATGGCAAAAAAAAAAAAAATACAGAGTAGCCTAAACAGAAGGACAATGCAGTCTTGAATTTGGCATCATCTAAAATAAATGAGGGATATGAATCAGATGAAGGTCAAAGAGATCAGTGGATGAATATTTGTGTTTAGATTGATAAGAGGTATGAATGTGGAAAGGTATTACTGAGATGGTATTTGTTCAAAAATCAAGGTGTCATGGAGTGCAAGAATAGGCAAACTAAATGATTTGTGCTAAGACAGTGAGATAGGGTCAGGTTGGATGAGGAAGAACCCTCAGGAAAGGAATTCCCAGTGTGCAGAATCAAGGGTGAATGAGCCCAGGATGAGCCCATAACCTGAATAACACAGATTACCCAATAGCAGAGGATGATCATCTCAACATCTTACCCCTGTTTTACTAGCTCGCCTGCTTTAAACTAGTGAAAAATGCTCACTCGTTCCCCTTTGTGGATATAAAAGTATATCAAAGGAGAAAGGTTTCTACCTTTTTCTGGAATCCTATTTAAGGATACTGATTCCCCCCATAATCTGGAATATTCTCTGCCTTTTCCCTTTCTTTCCCATATTACATAGAATCTTAAATGAAATATTGAATTAATAAATGCACACAGACTTTTCTCGATTCAGCTATTTGATCTCTGGTCTCTTGCTTTCATATATATATATATATATATATATGTATATATATAGAGAGAGAGAGAGAGCATGTAGCACTGTCCTCCTGCTGTTCATTGATTTGCTCGAGTGGGCTCAGTAACGTCTCCATTGTGAGACTTTTTGTTACTGTTTTTGGCACATCGAATACATCACAGGTAGCTTCCCAGGCTTTGCTGTGCAGGTGAGATACTCTCTGTAGCTCGCTGGGATCTCCGAGAGGGGCGGAGGAATTGAACCTGGGTCCACCATGTGAAAGGCAAATACCCTACCGCTGTGCTATCGCTCCAGCCCATATACATATACATATTACTTTCGGGTCACACCTGGTGTTGCTCAGGGGTTACTCCTGACTCTACACTAAGGAATAACTCCTGGGGGACTTACATGGGTTGCCAAGGATCGAACCCAGATCAGCTGCATGCAAGGCAAGTGCTCTACCTGCTGTCTATCACTCTAGCCCCTCATGCTTTCAATTTTGAATGCTTGAGGGCAAGACTCTGACAGCTGTAGCCATTAGAACTGAATCAGGAGTCAGACTAGGGTTACCTGTTGCTGAGTGAAAGGGCTTCAAAGCATTTTCTAAGTGCAGGAAATGTTGATCTAAGACTTGTATACTTTATTATAGTACCTCTGTATATGTAGGAAAAAGTTTGTCTAAATCAATATGTTTATATGTATATATGGTCCATCTTTATAGAAATGAATTTGGAAGAAAATATGTTAACCAAGATGTTAACAGCAGTTGTGTCTGTGTAGTGATAGAATTTTTTATTTTGCTTAGCCATATATTTAAATGTTTCTACCAATCTACATATGACCTTTTGTAATAGGAAAAGGTTGAATTTCTGATACATCGGAAAAGGTTGCTGATTTCTGATACATCAAATGTTGAATTGGTTCTGAAGAGTGTTCAGCATTAGAATAAAATCATTCTTCTTTTGTCGAGCTACAAGTCTGTCTCTCTGTAGTTTCCATCATGAATTTTTTTCCAGATTAAATTAAATGAAAATCCCAGGTTCTGCTGGTGATTAAATATTAGAAACAGATCCAGATTTTCTAATCAGATTTCACTGGTCCTCCAAATTATTTCTACTTCCCCTGTGGTCTTGGCAAGCTAAATACTGCCCATTACGAAGAAAGATCACTTGAGTAAAAGATTTAGTAAGTTCATACCTTAAGTTACATTTCTTGTACAAGACACCAGCTGGGACCCCAGCCTGCTCTCCACTGAGGGCTGTCACCAGCTGGAAACTGAGTGTTAACATTGACCATGAGACTTTCTCTCTTTCAGGATGATATCATTACCGTAATCAGCCGAGTGGATGACAACTGGGCAGAAGGCAAGCTGGGAGATAAAATAGGCATCTTCCCCATCTTGTTTGTAGAGGTACGTGAATATCATGTCTACATTGATGCACGCTTACCTAGAAATACACATGCATCACAGCAATCCTGAGACTGAATCTGTGATGTGTGGGTGTGTGTGTATGTGTGTGTGTGTGTGTGTGTGTGTGTGTGTGTGTGTGTGTGTGATCAAAAGAGAGTTCTATTGGCAGTAGGCTGGAAGGTTCAAAACTGGCAGACTCATGTCCTCTCAGCAACCCTCTTGTTTGTATGGTCACAGATAATATGTAAAGACCTGGAGAGAAAGGTGAGCTACAGACCACAGACCAATAAGCACTAGAATGAACAATAAAAATCGTGGGCTTCAGGGTAGAGCGATAGCACCGGGTAGGGTGTTTGCCTTGCACACGGCTGACCTGGGTTCGATTCTCAACATCCCATATGGTAGCCTTGAGCACTGCCAGGAGTAATTCCTGTGTGCAGAGCCAGGAGTAACCCCTGTACATCACTGGGTGTGACCCAAAAAGAAAAAAAAAATTCTGGGCTGGTCCCCTGAGACACTGTATCTTAGCTTCAAACCTAAACAGAGGTTGCAGCCTTTCTGGGAAAGGTTTAATAGAAAATTAACCTTATCTTTATCCTTATCTTTAAGCTTTGGGGCAAAGATTTGGGGGTGGGGGAACAAAATTTTGTCCTTGTCTATTATTGATCTTAAGTCCATTTCAAGCCCACTGTCAGTTGTTCCTTTCATTTCTGTGGAAGTTGGGGCCTTGAGTTAAAACTATTTTCTTCCTTCTCTTGGAGCTTCTAACAGAAGGGAAAGCTATTCCCTTTGATGCTAGTTCTTTTCATCTCCACTATCAGTCATTTGAGTGGGGTGTTGACTCAGCTCTAGCCATTTCCTGTTGAATAGCGTCATCCCATCAAGGGAAGGAGGAAAGGGAATAAAACTAACTGACCTGGGGGGAAAATATTTCTACCAAGGTAAACTCTGGTTTACCTGCAGTGTCTCTCCCAGGACTGTCATCTTTTAACCAAGAACAATTTGGAGTTGACACTTTTGCAACTCTACAAAAAGTTCCAAAGTTCTGCCTTTGGAACTTTGGTTTGGTTTGGTTTGGTTTGGTTTGGTTTGGTTTGGTTTGGTTTGGGGCCACACCTGGTGATGCTGGGGCCTTACTCCTGGTTCTGTGCTCAGTGATTACTCCTGGTTGGCTCCGAAGACCTTATGGGGTGCCAGGAATCGAACCTGGTTCAGCTGTATGCAAGGTGAACACCCCACCCACTGTACTATTGCTTTGACACCCCCCCCCCCCACCTTTGGGACTTTCTAAGAAGTCCCAGAACTCAGAAGTTGCTTTGTCCAATTATTTCACAGCAAAAACTTGAAAAAATTAAGAGTAAAATCTGATTTTTATGAGAAGCCATGTTACTGAAAAACATTTTTCTCTCCACTTTCACTGCTGATCTACTAAACAATTCTAGTCACAGATTGCTTCTAATAAACATGGCCAGTTATTTTTTGCAAAAGTACAGTCAGAAGCGGATATGATAATACACATTCCTTTAACGTGTGGCTTGAGATTGAACTTAAAGGGACCCTGTGGAATTGTTTCATGATTGTGTGGGTCTTGCCAGAATATTTTAAAAAGCTGATGGAGGCTGGAAAGATAGTATGGTGGGTAAGAAGTTTGTTGTGCAAGGGACCAAAATGGTTTCTATTCCCAGCACCCCATGTGGTCCCTCGAGCCCACCAGGAGTGATCCCTGAGCACAGAACCAGAACTAACCCCAGAGCACAGCTGGGAGTGACCCAAAAACCAAAATAATAATAATTTTTAAATGAATAAAAATATAATGGCTTGCATTATATCAAACTAGATTTAGAAATACTTGTGTGTATCTGTACATGGATAAACAATATCAACATATTATCAATGGTGATCCCTAGATGAGATCCTAAACTATTTTCATTTTCTTCTCCAATGTATTTGCATAGTATTTCTCTTCTGAAATGACCATATGTGTTTTTTAAAATCACCAACAAAATTTATATAATTAAATTTTGATCAACACATATAGTTCTTTACTCATTATGAAATAAAAATCGATGAATGACCATATGTTTTTATTTCTGGTTTTGTTTTGTGTTTTGGTGGAGCCTCAAAAACCCTAATGGGGTAGCCCTGGGGATGTTCCCAGCAGTGAAGTGCTCAGGCCCTTCAGTGGTTCCGCTCTGATATGGCAGATAATGTGGCAATACTGGAAACCACCAGTGCTAAACCACGTGGTGCATGGGAATCCAGCCAGCCACTGGATTAAACCCAGGGGCCTCTGCAGGCAAAGTGCTTAAATCTCTCTGGCCCTCTGTTATTGGGGTGGGAAGAGACACAATACCCACCAGTGGCAGGGTCTACCTCAACCCCCACGTTTAGGGCCCCCCCAAAGTGATTGGAGGCGCATGGTGCCAGGAATTGAATCCAGTCTCCTTCGTGCAAAGCACGTACCCCAACCCACTGAGATATCTGTACAGCACCATAAGGTACTTTTTAAAACAATTTACTTATTTATTCATTTTATTTTTATTTTTATTTTTTGCTTCTTGGGTCACACCCGGCAATGCACAGGGGTTACTCCTGGCTCTGTGCTCAGGAATTACCCCTGGCAATGCTCAGGGGACCATATGGGATGCTGGGAACCCGGGTTGACCACGTGCAAGGCAAACGCCCTACCCACTGTGCTATTGCTCCAGCCCCTATTAATTCATTTTAGATTTGGGGCCATACCTGATGCAGCTCAGAGTTTTCCCCTGGCTCTGGCACTCAGGAATCACTCCTGACAGTGCTCAGGTAGCATATGGGGTACCAGGGATCCAACCCAGGTCAACCACATGCAAGGCAAGCACCCCACTTACTGTACTATTTCTCTGATCCTGTAAATTGCTTTAAAAAAAAAAAAGCAGCACCTCTTAGGTTGTCTCTCTGCTTCTCCCAAATAAAAAAGGTAGCCCAGAGTCTCTTTTCCTTATCCTCACCCTAGCTTGAATCAGGCTATTACAAATTTTCTCTCTCTCCCATATTCCATGTTGAGCACAGAACGGTGAGAGGCTCAACCCAGAGTCCCTCGGGAACCCAAATTAAGTTGGCTAGATCGTGTTGTAACACCATCTGTGATACATAGACTTTGTCTGAAGGGAAGACAAAAGACAAATTGTATTTGAGCAAAGACCTCAGCAAAGTGACAGTTGTCACTACTCATTACCTGTTGTCTTGAACTGCTCCCATAGTGCCTCTGCCCCCAACCCCCAGCAATTTTCAAATCAACTGAGAAGCACATGGAGTCTTGATGAACTGCTGTGTCTGCCACCCCGGAAAGACAGAAGTTGATAGAAGTCATTGAAAGATTCTAACGAGGCAGTGATTTCCCCTTATTTGGGTTTCTTAAGAATAGCTGTAGCTATTGTGGGAAGGAGAATTTGAGAAGGAGGATGGGAAAGGCAGTAAGGCCAACTAGCAAACTACTACCCGGGTCAACTGGAAGATGATGGTGGCGTGGACTCAGAGTTTGCAAGCTAACAGGCAGATTTATGGAGCTTTTCTGAGGCGGATACACTGAACTTGGAAACTCACGAGTGAGGAGAGGAGTGGTCAAGGAAAGTGCCCCACTCTCTGACTTGTGGTAGAGTCCTTTGTTGTGTTGAGCAATGCATGCAAAGAAAAGCTAATTATGATGGTTGGAAGATGTGGTTGAGTCTCCAAGGACAGAGATTGGCCACAGCTAATACCTAATTAGCCATGTAGGACGGTCTTACACTTTTGCATTTTGGAGATTACTTCAAGCTTCTATGTCCTCTACATTATTTCAAGAATTTTCTTCGTAGATCTGGGGCTTGGGGCAAGGAAGTGGGGATGGAAAAGCGCCACTGATTTTATTGCTCATTCCAAGTATTCTACGTTGAGCAGTTCTTGGTTCTGTTACTCTCAACACTTCACCTCTAGAACCAGTAATTGTACGAACCCTCAAGATTATCCTCAAACTAGCCATCGCTTCATTTGTGGGGGCAGGCAGCAGGGGATAATCAAGTGGTTACTCTAATATGTAAGTCTGGGTTTCAAAAACTACATAAGATCTAAATTGAGCTTTTTAAAGCAGTACTTACATTTTGACTCCAATCTCTTCATCGAGAATAGTATTAGTGGAAAATGCTTTAAATAAACTTTGAATTGCAGAGCAATCGGAAGAAAGGAAAATGTTCTCAGAAAAGTGATGTGTTTTTTTTGGCCCAAGCAGGATTTTCCTTGTTAACATATCATTTGATTTATTGAATTGCACCTGGAGAAAAAGGTGGTACAACAAACGCCTGGTCTTGTCAGGACTTCTCCCACAGGACCTGCCTGGTTCATAGGAAGCCTGCTCAGCGCTGAGAACCACGAGGATACTGTTTCAAATGAGTGGGTGCAAATTTAAGAGATCTGCAATCCTTCTCCAGCTGAGTTATTAATCACATTGGCAGATGACAGGACACACCGCAAGTCACACGGGAGCCCTTTGTCAAAGTCTTTGATGGAAAAGCTGATGGTGTGACAAATAGAAAAGTTAGGAGGAGGCAAAAAAAAATTAACTTATTTCACCGTAGCCACAAATGACTATATAGAACTTTACTTACGCAACATCCGGCATTTATTGTCCTCTTACTGGGCAAGCGGTAGAGAAATCTGGGCTCCAGGGAGAGACTTTGTCCCTAGTTCAAGCTTCCGTCAGAACTTACCAAATCAATCTCAAGAAATTTACAGCTGGTCTCCGTACTGGAACTGGGACTAGCAGCTCGAATGAGCCTTTTCTCTTCACTCTCATACACTACAGTATATTCTCTTTGGTATCTTGTTCTATATTTTTTTATGAATCCATGCAGTATAACCACACTGCAATTCAGACTTAAAATAGCTCCAGCACACTCCTAAAATAGAATAGCGCGCTTCCACCTTGAAGTCAACTCCTCCAACTCCAAACAACCAATATTTTCTCACCCTTTTTTTTTGGGGGG